AATGAGGCTGAGCCTCGGAGCTGCAGAACTGTAGTTAATAGTCCTTACCAGAAGGAGCCACTGCCTGAGGGGGACCACTGCCCATTGAAGGGTTGCCTACAGGACAGTGAGGCCACTCAAATGCCACCCAGAAGCAAAGAGCAAGGAGCATGTGCCTTCCTTCTCCAAGTCAGTAGTCTTGGTTGGCAGTGTTCCTGGCAGGGCCTAACAGGGAGCAGGCTGGCAAAAACAGAGACAGGGGTCACTGAGTTCCGGGATAGCGTGCAAGGGTGGTTTGGGAGCTGAGAGACAATCACTTAGTAACTGGCACAGTCACACTGGTGGAAACTCACTAATGTACACTTCCTTAGCTTTCTCTGTGACACCGACTCCCTGCCTACCTCTTCACTCTGGCCTCTTAGGGTCACCTCCCAAATAAACTACCTGTATCCAAGCCCTTGATTTAGTCTCTGTGTGCAGGATAGAACCTGCTACAGACTGAATGTGTTTGTTCACAATTCGTACATTGTAATCCTGACTGCACCTTAGCGGAATTAGGAGGTAAGGCCTTTGGGAAGAATTAGGTCATGAAGGTGGAGTCCCACTGTATGGGATTAGTGCCCTTAGAGGAACAGACATCAGAACTTGCTTGCAGTCCTTTTGTTCCCCGCATGTGCAGACACAGCAAGGATTTCTCTCCGCAGACACCTGATCTGCTGTTACCTCTATCTTGGACTTTGGGTTTCCAGAACTGGGAGAAATAAATATTTGTTGCTTATAAGCATCCCAGTCTATGATATATTTGTTATAGCAGCCTGACCTGCCTGAGACAGAACCCTAATAAAACATTAGAGTTATTCATATTTGAAATCCACACAATTGCATCATTCGCATAAAAATCACAATGAAAAATTTCATTTTTAGGAAATATTTTCCTTGTATAATCTCCAGACAATTATGCCTTAAATAGTCCTCATTCAGTTCACTTAAATTATCATTTGCTAATGAGATTTGCTGGAATATGTGATATTCAAAATTGTCCCTCTTCAGTTATGATTGATCAGTGATCATGTCAATTTCAAGGTGCATTGAAATGATGATGAGTATTAACCTTGGCATTATGGGGTCAACACCTAACTGAGCTCAGCAAACTTTTATAGCAAAGCGGAAGGCTCCTTCTGAACTTTGACTCTTTCATATCATTCATATTTTAAAGAACCCATAGAAAAATATTTCACTGACTGTAAAATTACTCAAGATATAACGTTTAGTTAAAAAGCAAAGAATATTTGCATTTGATATGCCTAATTCTACATTGTAATTGCTTTTGCTATAGTAAGTGTCCACTTTCTTCTCTCTGAAGCTGCAATTCAATAGCTCAAAACTCTTCATGGGAAATAATCCTCTGAATCAACTTGAGCTTTGGAGTATCTTGGACTTATTTATGTTTTTATGGAGGTAAATTCCTATATTCCATGGTTAAAATTAGTTTTGCCTCTCAATTTGTAGAATTCAATTCAATTTAGTGAGTTGAAGTCTTCAGAGTTGATCATAGATACGCTGATCTGGCCTTTTCAAATATGTCTTTTTCATTTATAATTGGAAGTGAAGTGGTTAAATTAGTCAAACATTCAAAAACTGTTGATTGCCTGTCTCTTAGGGCTCATATTTTAGGTCTACCTTAATATTCTCTGTTAGCCAGACTTTACTTTCATAATGGCATTATGAGTATTACTTTCCTAAGCTTCAAAAATAATTTTACAAAGAAAGAAAAATCTAAAATTTTCCATTTAAGTGTTCTAATAACTTTTCTATAAAACATAAGTTTCATGTATTGAGTATATTAAATCTATATGTAAATTCTATCAGGGGAGATATTTTTGTCATTTACTGATTTATTGCTATTATTGAAAAGCATGAGATAAAACACATTCTGAGAGCTTAATAAACAAATTTAATAAATGAATCCATGTTACGTGTTCATAAAATATACCATTTGTTTTTAAGTATTCTCAGAAACTTTTTTTTTTTTAATTTAGGTAAATCAAACACACAAACACCTGTATATATGTATATATACACATGTTTATCATGTTTCTTTTTTCCACTAACTACTGTACTAATCAGATCCGACCACGATGGTATATGTCCATGTGATTCACTATTATTTCTTGCTAAATAATATTCCATATAAAACTTATCCAGTCTTCCAGCTAGATGAATAATTTGCCTCAGATTAGTCAAACAAAAGTAATGCTGCAACAAGTATTTTTTTTATTTCACTTAATGGACCCATGAGAACTATATCTTAACCCCTATGCCTTATATCTTCATTAATGAATGAATAATTCATTAATTATTTATAAATTCATTAATATTATATTTCTATTTATAATTTTCTACTTACTTTCAGTTTATGAAAAACAAATGAACATTTGCCAGGTTATGCAGCAAAATTTATACTATACACTATAAAATGTGGTGTGACCAAGTTCATCTAAATTATGTTTCATAATAAACTCATATTCCACTTACCCCAAAATCAGCCCCCTGGAAAATGGAGACAATCCATGGGATCTCAGGACAGCAAGTGAAACCCCTAAAAATAGTTTTATGAAAAGTATCTCCCAAATTCTCATTTAGTTCTTAGACTTCTTATGTTCCATAATCCTCTGGGATTATGTATAAATCATTGAACTGACAACAGAGTGATATACATTTTAAATTGCTAATGAAAACATAGGTTTGTTTTAATATCAGAAATTCAATTAATTACACTCATATAGCTGGGTTGAACTGAAATGAAACCCCAGATCACCTGAATGTAAATACCACCAGTAATTCATTCAATAAATTTGTAAGTGTCCAATTAACACTAGGCTTTGTGTCAGAAGCTGTGGATGAAGAGGTAAAATCTAGGTCATTCTCCTGCTTGCAGTAAAGCAGCAGATAACCCACACACGTATGCAAGTGCGTGACTATACAGTGAAAGCAGACTCATCCCCAACTTTCCATCCTTAAGAGCATTGCTTTCTGAGTGATGCAACAGGTCTTTGAAAGAAATTTCCATAACCAAAAATATCCTGGAGGCGTAGACAAGCAGATTGAGCAAGGAGAGAGGGTTTTAAAAGTTTTAAGAACTTGAAAGGTCACAGGATTGCTTACTTTTAGAAGCTTTATTCTCTACCACGGAAACTGATTATTTGCTGGCATCAATAAACAAATTTGGTCATAAAAATAATGAAAAATTTATGCTATGTTGATAATTATCATTTTTCACTAAATAACAAACCACTCGCTTTCTTCTCATTTAAACTTGTTTTAGCAGCTAAGATGCAGCCCCTGAATAACATCCATTATATCTTGTAGACATTTAAAATATTTATTGAAATTATTGGTGAACACTTTTATTAAATTATAAAGTCAGTAACTATTTTTTCACATTTCAACCGTTTTTGAAGGCTCTTGAAAATCTCACAGTTCCTAGAGATGGTACATAATATTCCTAATGGATAAAAGTACTTACACAATGGGTATTCGGGTTTGTTTCACATTGGATTTTTCTGTTTTAATTGTGGTAATGGTTTGTGAATAATCAAGGACGTTCTCAAGTTCATTTTAACACAATAATCTTTTAGGGGTGGAGAGTAACTATATTGCAGAATGCTTTGTACATTAAAGCAAACTAGTATGATATGTGCTCAGATATTCCTGAAGGAAATAAAACCACTTTTAGGAAACCTAAACTACAGGTAATTATTCCTCAGAGCCTTCTGGGTAGGCGTTATACTACTGGAAACTTCTACTCATGACACATATTGGTTTTATATACATATATTCAAATGTATAAATAAATTGGCTTCAAATTTTCATATAAATATAATATATTAAGATATGCTAAAATCCTACATACTGTATATATTTTTGAAGCCAATTTGATGATATTATACATAGCCTGGTTCAAAAAATGTTAAGTAAGTCCCTATTCATAGAAAATAGAGTATAAACTACTTCTGTTTTCATCATGTATTTCATATGGTCTCCTGAAAATTTCTCTATCTCTTTTAACTTGTTGCCCAGATACTATGTAACCAAATTATTTTATGAGAAAAGATTATAATTATTAAAACATTGATACATCTTAGGGACATTTTTTATAGTTTATTGTGAAACCTAGAGCTTGAAGAGAAGATCACATTTCTATGAGAATTTAATTAATTTCACTTTTTCAGTAACTTAGGCAGTTAAATGTGCTGCTGGTTTTAAAGTATAGATATATGGCAATTCTAATTAAATATACCTTATCCTGTTTGACTTAAAGCATTTATCTGTGGGTAGATGCTTGGTAATAATTTCTTGAAAACTAGGAGACTGCAAGTTTCATTATGAGAAATTAAGGAAGGCAGATGAAACAAATGCATTTGAGCAGAACATGGGTTTGGTGTGGGGAATGTTGCCTTTGATTTGTTAGTACATTTTAATACATTGGTTTATTCCAGAAATGTTTACTGAACAACTGTATTTTGTGAGAATCTGATGTTAGAATAACTAAAAGTAAAATATTTCCTCAACGTCCTCATCATTTATTGTAAATCTGGGGAGTTGTTGCGAAATGAAATGAGGCAGAATAGTCATATTTCTTCAGATTATTAATAAAAAGGAAACTTTAGAAAAATAGAATTTTAGACTTCACATAGACTGATATTTCAGTCCTCCTTATTAACGGGTAAGGAAAGTGGATTAATGCTTTTTGTTTTGTTTGTCTGGGCTTTCCATGAAATTGATTAAAGGAGAAAAAAATAAAATTTTGAACAGAGGAAACCCGATCATGCATTTTTATTTGACCTGATATATTAGTTTTATCATTGCTGCTGTAAAAAAATTACCAAAAATAGAGTGTCATAAGGCAACATTATTTATCTTATAGTTTGGGAAGTAAAAAATCCTTAAGTCAAGATTTCAGCAGGACTGTGTTTCCTCTGTAGGCTCTAGAGGAAAATCCATTTCCTCGTCTCTTCCAGCTTCTAGAAGCTGCCCACATTTCCTAGGCTCGTCACCCCAGCTCCTAATTAAAAGCCAGCTGTACAGCATCTTCCAAGCCCTGCCTCTGTTTCTGAACCTACTGCTGCCATCTGTGAGGATCCTCATGCCCATGGCTCGTGCTGGACTCCAGGATAATCCAGGATATTCTTCACATCTCAGTTAAGCATATAACCATATTTTCCTTAAATAATTGCAACTATACTTTAAGCACACATTAAGTTAGTTATTTAAGATTTTCTAAATTAAATGTTTGTGGATGATTAAGTCTCAGTTACATAGAGTCAACATGATGTATTGAGTTATAGGGTTATATCTCTGTAGGTCAAAACGTCATGTTTAGGTGTGATTTTATACCCACAAAGTCCATTCTCTAACAGGTCCCTAGCTAATTTTTCTTTAATGATTCACTTCAAAAGCTTAAGGAGAAACAATATATTTACATAGCTTCGACATAGTTTTTAACTGAAGTATTTATTAGTTACTAAGGGAAAAAGAGTACCTTTACAGTAGAGATATTCGGCAGACAGCACCTTAATTCAGAGGTCAAATGATCAAGATTGGCATCATTAGTGGTAATGACGCACTGGCATCATGTCCCCCAGATACGGTGTTTTGAGCAGGGCACACCGACTCAGGTATTCTTCTCCCTAATCCACACCTCAACTGGATAACAAAATAAATCAGATAAATTCAAGCTCTCGGATACGAACAGAATACCTGCCCAGTCCTCTTCTAAGACAATGAAGGTATGAACACGGAAGAGTGAGAACTGGAGGAGATTGATGGCTACCTGCTTGGTGGGATCCTGGGATGGATCCTGAAACAGAAAAGGCAAACAAAGGAGAAACACTGAAAAAAATGCAATTCAAGTCTATAGTCTAGTTAATAGGACTGTACCAATGTTAATGTTTTAGTGTTGGTGATTTCACCATGGTTTTGTAGGGCGCCAACATCAGGGGCAGGCGAATGAATGACGGACAGATCATCTCTGCACTATTTTTGCAGTTCTTCCCTAAGTCTAAAGTTATTTCAAACTAGAAAGTTAGAGTAAATGAACTTAGTGCTTTCAGTAGAAGTTAATAAATTTCCTTTCTCAAAACAAAGCCGAAATTTCAATTGAATTTACAATTAACTTAGAAAGACTTCTCCTACTGCTTATTTGGCGCATGCTTACAGCTTAAATTAAATCTGAAGAAATGATGGGGTAAACCGAATTTGCTTTTGAGAGGACTAAACGCATTAAGGGCAGGATATACCGTAAGGATGGAAGCTCTTCTCGGCTGCTGACCCCTGTGTCCTCATCTGTACTTTCCAAATCAGTCTAGGCCACGTGGCAGTGGCAGTCGTCTGGTTTGGCCTGCCACAGCCTTTTTTGACTTCTGCTCTAGAAAACCATTTCTCTTTGGTATGCAAAAAGAAAATAAATAATCTTTGAATCAGTTCACTAGGGTTTCAGAGTAGCTTTTCTCATTGGCACACATGATTTAATGTTAACTATGTGCCAGACAACTGTACTTCATCTGCTTTATCAGTTCTTGTATAATTTATTATAACAGATGGAAAACGTGGCCAAATTCAATTCCTATTTCCTTGGTTAAAAATGCCTGTTAATGGCACAGTCGCAGGGGGGCCATCAGGTAAGAAACTGGGGATCAATGATGGTGAAGCTTAGAACCTCACCCCCCCTGTTTTGAGAGAAATCTTCTGCATCCGTGGATGTTTTAATGCCCTTATCTAGCTTGGATTAGCACAAAGTCTACAGGCACACACCTGATCATCTACAATTGCTCTCTTACAACACTAAACTATGTTTTCTACCTTTATCTTGCATCTACCTACCTCTTCAGCATTTTGTTAAAAATAAAAATAATAATAATAATAATAATAATAATAAAGGGAGAAATGTGGGATCCACATATAAATCAAGTATAAAAATCAAACGAATATTCATATTTGACCTGATTGTTTATAGTTCATAATGCGTGATCAAAACCAAAAGTTTCTGTGATAAATGCCCTTGTACTGTTCACCATGTGAGAACTTATTCACTATGTAAGAATTTGTTCACCATCTAAGAACTTGTTCGTTATGCTTCAGAAGATTGGAGACTGACGAGAATTAGGCTTGAGATGGATTAATGATTGTGCATTGAGCATTGACCCCCCTATACTGAATTTTATTGTTGTTAACAACCATTTGATCAATATGAGAGATGCCCTCTCAAAAAAAAAAAAGAATTTCAAAGCATATTGCTCTGAAAAAACATGTATAAGCCATTCAATAAAAATACTCTTACTTAAAAAAAAAATGCCTGTTAACAGCTCATTACATCTCTTTCCAACTCAACACATCATAGTTGCATCCAATTTGCGGCAAATACATTTTTGTCGAAATTTCTACTGAATGTTGTACATTTGTCTAAGGCTGTAGCTGTTATACTTAATTAGGTTGCACTTTATTGGAAGAGCTGGAGCTTAAAATCAATTTATTCTGCTCATTTAAACCTTGACCTCCTTTGCTAATAAAACCAAAGACAAAAAGAAATCCTGGGTCATATATGATAATTTTGTAGTTGTCATGTTAAATAGTATTAATGTGAATTATTGTGGCTCACATTGCTGGATGCATCTATAATTGGTTGTAGTTAATAAAATTTGTATGGGTAATGAAAAAATTTCAAAATACTGTACCCTTTTGTCTTAAATTATTCGAAATGTTATTTAAGAATCTAAAAATAGCTGTACTGATTTTGTTTTGCTGTTGATGAATCTCATTAGCTAATTAGTTTAACATGAACTAGTAGGAAGCTATTGTGGAAAGACCTGCGCTGACACCCCAGGAGCCCTGCATGTGTCCTGCTTACACGGCACTTTGCCAGCGTCAACACCTCAGTCTTAAGACTATTTGTATGACCAAGAGGCAATCCTTCAAGTTTCATGAATTACTGGTCAGATTCTGTCCTCTCTCCATTCACCCTACTGTACCCCACAGTTTTAGCTTCACTGTCACAAATTGTCTAAGAGGTCCTTCTAATTTATCCGCATGGTGTCTACATTCCAAGAAGCCCTAAGTTCCCAGGAAATTCCTTATCTTTGCAGACAACCATCCTCATATAGCTTGCTGCCCCTTCTAGTATGAGCAATCTTCACAAAAAATCCCTTAATCCCCATACATTCCACTGAGTCTGCAGGAAACTCAGTCACTCCTTTTCTTTCTTCATCTTCTTTTCTTAAGACTATCCCTGTAAAAATCCCCAGTGATGCTATTTGCTCTCCCACAATTCAGGGGAATTAGAGGCTGAGAAATAGCTGTACAAATAAACATTGTGAACTAAACGTGTGTCTTCCTAGTCCCTTCTTCACAGCTCAACGCCCCAGCCCACCCTGTGTCTTGTCAATCCTTCCTACATTTACTGTTTCTTTGTCTCAAAGATACAAAAGCCTTCTTCTCTGGTCACGTCTCCAACCTTTATTCTCTTGAGAGACCTGCCATGTGCAGGTAAAATATTTTTTAGAACTTGCATGCTTTTCTGTTACTCTGTTTTATATCAGTTTAATTCTTAGGCCCAACCAGAGATCCTAACAGAGTCAAGGACAATTTTCCTTCCCCTGCATCACTAAGATCTTTAATTGACCCCCATATTGAGATGACTTCTCTGTAATAATTGACCTGATATCTATCTGGGTGTCTTTTCCAGATTCCCTTTCCACTTCCCGCAGCCAAGTGAATCAATGATGGCCAAAGTCCTGTAAGTAGAAATAGACTTTTCAACTTCTTGGAAATATACTTAAAAAGACCATTGGTGCTTTTCTTCCATGTTTTTCTTCCTACTGACTGAAATGTGGCCATAATGCCCCTGAATTTTCCATCTGGGGCAATGAGTTCCCCTTAGGAATAGAGGCAAATAGAGCAGGAAAACCGCAGTAGGGTACTTAGATGCATGACACGATGCAGTGCAGTGCTAGCTTTGGGCTACTCACGTGTAGACTTCCAAACGAGAAATAGTTAACACTTCTCCCTTTCTCAAACAGGTGATCTTTTTGGGTGTCCTATCTGTTGCAGCTAACCCTACCACTAATGCATGGGGAAGAGTGAGAGCAAGATACTGATATAAATCTGAGGGCAGATATGTCATATGTATGTGGAGAAAATTGATTGGGTAGAAAACTGTTATCATAGTGTGTTCTTGAATTTTATTTGTACTTTCAAGAATTTTAGAGCCATAAAATCAGCAAGAACAAACTTAAGAAAAGTAAAGATAAATTAAGGGCAGTTTTTATGGTACATCATTTATGAATGGGTAAAGGGACAATTCTCTGAGGTCTGATGAATTTTAAAAGGAAGGAAAAGGGGGAAAGGAAGAGAAGATAAAAATGGCACTAATTGGAGTCTTCATAAACACGATGGTATATCAAAAAAGAAAGGGGAGAGTTTGTATAAAAATTCCTGTATGTCAGTCTCAGCCCTTTTGGAAGGACTTGACCTTATGATCTCAAACATCTGTGGGATACCCTAAGCAATCCTAAATGCTATGAAATTAGGGAATATTCATGGAATCCTATCACAACATTTTTTAACTTCACTATAACTTTAAAATGACATTAATGCAAACGCCACAGAATTTACAATTTCTAACTAAAGAGAGTGAAGTAGTTTTCTGACTTAAATTGATTATTTTAGAACTTTCCTATTATATTTATTATTTACTATATATTAGTTTTGTTATATGCTAGCTTTAACTCTTAGACCCATAGGAGTAGTTTCGAAAAGGTAAAGTAAAATTATGTAAGGGAATCTCTACATTAAGGTAATTTTTTTGAAAATGTATGCATGATTACCATTATATACCAGGTAAAAAATGGAATGCCACTATGTAAATGTTATGGGGCCTGTATTCCACTAAACAAGCATTTGAAAATCAGTTGTGAAATGTTCAAATTACTTAGCCAGGTGTTTTAGTTACACTCTGACCTTTCTGGCTATAATTTGGGTCAACACTGGATCAGCTGCTTTAGGTGATATCACTGTTTGTTAGACATGAGAGACAGTAGATTTACTCACGTGGTCATTCAACAACATTTACTGAATGTTTATATTGTTGGACATAATGGGATAGACTGACATAGACTCTAGTGATATAATCCTATAAATCTGTCTTTGATCTCCAAGTATTCACAGTGTTTTATGAGATGCATTAACTGAAACCCAAGTTAAAATATTTTGAAATACATAGCTGTTTATTATTAAGTGGATGAACAATAATTAAGACAGAATTACACAACATTAAGTGTTCAAATCAAGCACTTACTCATTTGTGTAATTTTACAAATTAATATTTTCAAGGTTCTGTGATGAGCTCTATGACAGATGCCAAATATACAGTACTCGTAGGTATTTTAATTATAAGGGTACATGGTGGGATTTTCAAGGTAAGTGGGAGCTGAGTATGGTAAAATGATGATTGGGACAGTGAGAGTTTAGTGTGGACTGAGCAAGCTAAGGTAAATATGGGAAAGTTTAATAATTTGCAATGACAAGTACAAGATCTAAAGAAATGAATATAAGAGAAGCCTGTGATAAATTAGATAGAGACAGGTTATGAAAGACCTTAAATATCAGTCCTGAAGAGTCACAAATGTTACTATGTAAATGTTATGGGGCCTGTATTCCACTAAACAAGCATTTGAAAATCAGTTGTGAAATGTTCAAATTACTTAGCCAGGTGTTTTAGTTACACTCTGACCTTTCTGGCTATAATTTGGGTCAACACTGGATCAGCTGCTTTAGGTGATATCACTGTTTGTTAGACATGAGAGACAGTAGATTTACTCACGTGGTCATTCAACAACATTTACTGAATGTTTATATTGTTGGACATAATGGGATAGACTGACATAGACTCTAGTGATATAATCCTATAAATCTGTCTTTGATCTCCAAGTATTCACAGTGTTTTATGAGATGCATTAACTGAAACCCAAGTTAAAATATTTTGAAATACATAGCTGTTTATTATTAAGTGGATGAACAATAATTAAGACAGAATTACACAACATTAAGTGTTCAAATCAAGCACTTACTCATTTGTGTAATTTTACAAATTAATATTTTCAAGGTTCTGTGATGAGCTCTATGACAGATGCCAAATATACAGTACTCGTAGGTATTTTAATTATAAGGGTACATGGTGGGATTTTCAAGGTAAGTGGGAGCTGAGTATGGTAAAATGATGATTGGGACAGTGAGAGTTTAGTGTGGACTGAGCAAGCTAAGGTAAATATGGGAAAGTTTAATAATTTGCAATGACAAGTACAAGATCTAAAGAAATGAATATAAGAGAAGCCTGTGATAAATTAGATAGAGACAGGTTATGAAAGACCTTAAATATCAGTCCTGAAGAGTCACAAATGTGTTTCAGTGGAGAAGTGATTTTTAAAAATACTTTGGAAATACTTCTTTGGAAAATTAATCTGACAAAATTTTGGAAAATAAACTAGTTTTGAAAGAATCTGGAGGTGATATATAGGCAGGTAGGATGAAACGTGCTGCTACTGTAACTTCAACAGTATTGGCAAGAGGCATAAATATAAAAGGTGCTTTATCACCTAACTTATATACAGAAGGTGATTGGTTTAGCTGAGTCTTCTACTTTTAATAATGACTTGACCAAAACCTAGCTTTCCTATTTTTCTAAGAAAATTTTGAACAGTTAAAAAACAGCTTCCTTGCTCATGTTTTACTCCAGGACTTTGCAATTTAAAAATTCACACTACATCTTGTCTCCTTATCAGCTCAGAACTAAGGTTTTTTCTAAAAATATAGAATATTACAGTGAATAGCCCCACACGCACCGCCGCTGCTTTCTCCATACATTTACATTATAAACTGTGAGAGAGCCTGTTCCTCAATTTTGCAGGATTTTTGCAGATTTACATTTATTTCCCATCTTCATGTCGGCCATTGCAAAGAAGCCAATCAGAGAGAAACAGTCCAAAATGTCATCTCTCAATTAGAGTCCTGATATTTTCATGTTTCTTACACTTTATGCTTGGAGTGCTGCTAATATTTCTCCAGCCCTCTGCTGTGTTACCAGAACTGGCCTCTTGACCCTATTTTCTCGTAAGATTTTGTCTCTTGAGGGCTGTGCCCCCAACCACTCGACCCTTTACTCTTCGTGACTCTGACTTGCCCTCCCCCTCTCCCTCCTGACCCGCTCTCCTAGGAAAATTGAATGAGAGCTCCTAAGAATTTCTTCAATCTTAAAATATTCTCTTTTTTAACTGATTGTCTATGCTCAGCTATGGGCTTTTTCACAGTAATTTTGGAAAACTGCTGACATTTATCCAGCCTGGCTTTCTAACACACCGTATTATTAATGATGATTTCCCAATGTAGTCATTGTTTAAATCATTTAGTGAAAAGATATAGGATAAGTA